GGGGGGGGGGGCGGGAAATCACTGAACACAGCAGATCTCCACCAACACACCTGTGAGTTTTTAGCAGCAGCAACACAGCATTGACAGATGTGCCCACTTTTAATTCTCAAAATTCCTGGTGAAGCAAGGTGTTACACCACCACCCTCCTGTACACAGGGAAGCCACAGCAGTGTGCCATGTCACTGCACTGCCAGCTCTGCTGCTCTGACAGTGAATACTCACCTGACAGGCGTACTGCAGACATGTTAAACTGCACTGATGATATATGGTGCTGGCAATGAAAGCAAAACCTGGGAGATCCTGACAATATACTGGGCTTAGGTAATGCCTTTGCTTGCCCCGGATCAGCTTTGTGCAAGAAAGTTAATTTATGGCTGGATCAGTGCAGGGCTGAGCCGATCTCACTACAGAACTTGTTCCTATGCCACAGGGTGGGTGGAAGTGTTTTAAGTTCCACCAGCAACTCACCTGGTATAGCATCTGCGGGGAGCTTCCCCGAGGCCAACATGATGTCACGGAAATTGAGAGAGGCATAATAAACCTTGCAGAGCTTAGTGCTGGGATAGTGGCAGAGCGGAGAGGCAATCCAGCGAAGGGAAGAGAGGTCTCCACGCATCAGCGTGTTCACACAGGCATATTCCGTCAAAGCCTGGGACTGGCCTGCAGGAAGACATGGGAGAGCCTTAGACACATCAGCTTGATGGCGACGCTTCACCCGACGAAGCAGATTATTTGAGCAAGAGCAGCAAAAAAAAACAACCCACAAACAAACAAACAAAAAAAAAACCCACCACCAAGAAACACTCCCCCAAAACCCAAACCACACATGACAAAGTCTGGGAGCCATTCATGGGAGCAGGGATATTTGCCATTCACCGTTAGCCAGCTCTTCTATTTACCCCCAGCAAAGGCCCTCTCCATGCTGCAAGCCTGCCTGGGCACTGAGCTAGCTCATACTGCCTGCAGACATTAAGTCATGCCATTGTCCTGCTGAATCTGATCCAAATGCACCCATGCCTAATTCTTGGCACCAGGAGGAAAAGCATCTCCTCACACCAGGTTTTCCAGACCCTGCGAGAGGAGACAGTGGCCATCAGACCCCCAGCTAAAAAAGCGTCACCTTGCTCCAACAGGAGGTGCCGGAAGGAGCCCCACTTCCCATCACGATACACATTCATCACCAGGTCTCTCTGCAGGATCTTTTGCATCTCCGAGTCTGATGGGCTGGTTGGAGGCACAGGGGAGGAGGAGTCCAGATTGGAAACAAACAGGGACCTGGGGAGCAGATGGAACACACAATCCATGTTGGTCACTTTGCCTGCCAGGAAGCAGGAGGAGGAAGATGGCCTCTGCTCCCAAAGAGCCTCTAGTGTGGCTTTGTACCTGATCCTGTGGCCTCCAGGCTCCTGGCGCAGGCAGGTCATCAGTCCCATAATGCCAGAGGTTGGATACTTGGTTGCAGTCAGCCACAAAGGCTGCTCAGATGAATCAGCCAGGAGGTTCTGCAAAAAGCGCCCAGCCAGGTGGATTAAGCTGTGCTGAAAGGGAGCTGCTGCCCCTACCTCACGGCCTCTCTGGGCCTAGGGAAAGGGCTCTGGAAAACCTGGAATGCTGTTGAAGACAAGCTGCCTCTTCCCAAGCCATTCCCATGGCTCCACCCAGAGACTCACCTTTAGGGAATCCACCCACTTGCAATGGGTCTCATCCACAGGCAGGAAAATAGGTGGCTTGACAGGAGCCTGCCGGCGGCACAAGAACATGACAGAGCCAAAAAAGGATCTTTTCACAGCCATGAGATTCAGCGAGGTCTTGCTGAACAAATCCTCCCAGGCTGCCTGTGAAACAGAGCAAGATGGGAATGACTGGCCCAGCCAGGAGGTGCTAGAATCCCATTCAACACCTAGCTGGGGAAACCAGGAACCAGCACTGCCCCCTTCTCCCTACACAGGGTCTTTGGCAGAAGCTTGCTCCATGCATCCATCTTCCCGCACCCCCCCGGTCCTTTTGCTGAGACACTGCATGCAGGACTCCCAGCATTCAAAGAACCAGCACCAAGGATCCCAACAGCTCCTCGAAGAGCCAGAGATGCTGTTACGTGCACTGTAGCGGCCCCTACAGCGAGTGTGGGTTGGCATTCACAGCTGTGTGCCACAGTAACAGTCCTCCTGTTCCTGGTTGTCTCGGGGTGTCATCTCCAGGTTTGCCATCAGGCACCAGACACCAGGGCAGGAAGACGCCTTTGTTTTTCCCCGAAATGGGACAGAGCAGCTGTTCAGGAGTATGAACCACCAGAGAGTCTACAAGCAGCATCCCAGACTCTAGGACCAACCAGAGAGATAATAGCCAAGGGCCTAGAACAGCAGACACTTACCTGAGTCAGGAAGCCTGGTCTGTGCTGCACATCCAGTGCTGTAAGGAAATGGACCGTTTCTCCAAGAGTTTCTCCTCCCAGAAGAGTATGCAGTAGCACAAACCCTCCTTCCTTCACGGAGGCCACCAGGTTGGAGAGCATCTCTGCTGGCTTCTCCAAGACTTTCATGGAGCAGTTGAGCACCAGCAGGTCAGCATTGGTCAGGTTTCCAGGTGGAGGACGGACAGGGTCCCACTGGCCAGGGGAAACATCCGTTTCCTGAAACTGCTTCTCATAGGCAGAAAGGACCTCCTGGGCTCTATCAGTAGCAGTGTAGTCAACTTCTAGCAAGGGATGAGTTTCTAGAAGAGGAGTGATACGAGAGAACAGGCATCCGTCTCCTGCCAGTGCCTATACAGGAAGAGACAGGAAAGGAAGATAAATACCTCAGCTGTTGGCAGCACATGAAAGCAAGAGGTAAGTCTTGGGATTTCAAGACCTCTCCCACCCAGTCTCATCCCCAAGTCCCAACTAACCTCCACAATCTTTATCTTGATATTGGACGTATTCTCCACGGTTAAGTCCAGACAAACCTTCAGCTGTGGGGAATTTAGCAAGGCATTGAGGAGGGGATCCTCCTGGAGATGCATCTTCTCTTGGGTCACAATCTCATCCAGCTCAGAGTACAGGTTTCCATTTAGTTCCAGGTGGCAGATTTTATCAAGGATGTACAGAAGGCCCTTCTCTGCAGGCACAGTCTCTGCCCTGGTGCCTGTAGTCTCTAGCCCAGGGATGGCCAGTCTAACCCCATGCAGCGCTACCTTGTTCTGCAGGTTCTGGATCAGACCTAGAGCACAGCAGGAGAGAGAGAGAGTCACACATCCTTCCCTGCTGCTGCCTCATTACACAAGCCCTGTAAGAGCAACAGCTTGGCATACCTTGTGAGACTTCCTGATGATATTAGCGGTGGGTCTTGTGGTGTTGTGTACCCAGAACAGCCAACTCACACACAGCACAACACACTAGTCTCCATTATTGCTAGCAGCATCCTGAGGCCTCATCCTAGAGAGGTCCTCTTTGCTGGCTCTCCACAAACATGGCAAGAAGAGTGCAAAGGACAACCCTCCCCACAAAGGGAAGGCTTTGACTGCTGTTAAATTTCACCAGTGAGTAGAAGGAAAAAAAGAGCATCAGGCCAATCTCGCTGCCTGGAAGACAGAACTGGTATCCTGATACAGCCGATTCAGCCATGCCAGAAGCACCTCACCCAAGGCTCAAAATTCCCGAAGAGCCACTTCTGTTCTGCCTTCAGTTGAGTTACTCCTAAAGAACAGCGGGAGATCTGCCAAGGACTGCCGTTTGCCTCTTCTCCCGCACAGCTCTGGCACCAAGGGCTGGGGTGTCAGCGCCTCCAGCCCCTTTCTACAGGCACACAAGGGACTGGACTCAAAAGGGCTTGGGGGAGGGGCAGGGATTTAAAATTTTCTTGCCAATATTAACAGAGGTAGAGTCCTGCAGATCTAGGACACTAAAATAAATAAATAAATAAATAAATAAATAAATAAATAGGTGCACCAGCACAGATGCTGCACCAGCAGCTCATTTGACAGATGCCTTCCTGGGCAGAAGCCAGCTGAGTGCCACAGAAGTCCTGCCGAGGGAGGATGTCTTAGCGAAGTGCCAACAGAGCCCTTCAGCCCGGCCTGCCCAGGGCTGGGTCAGTCAGCTCTAGGTCCTGTAGCAGCTGGCTCCACTGTGGTGCCTTGGGCACAGTATGTTTTGTGACTGTACGACTAAAATCAGAGCCACAGCCTGGGCTAGCGCCTGCTCAAGGAGACTGCTGGAAGAAGAGCGCGCACCAATGATTTCAGAAGATGGTGCAGGCACGACTTTCACCCCAAAAAGCCTGCTTCCTGGTGCCATGGACAATTATAGTGGTACTAAACTCCCTTTACCTTTGCAATGCTCCAGAATGGTGTGAAGCTGTGCATCAGAAGACAGACAATCCATCTCAACATAAGGCACAAAGCAGAACTTCTCTAGGAGTGGAGAACTCTGTTCCTGCTGCCTGCGGGGTGCTATAGAGCTGTGGAGCCCAGTAACCTGCACACCTCCTGACCTGATGCTGCCAACACAGTGGTCATAGAACACATCAAAACCTGCAAGACAAGAGGAGAACATGCAGATGCTGCTGGAAGCTTCACAAGAAGAGGCTCTGCTATGCTGCCGGTGGCCAGACAGCCAGTGTGGTGTCAGTGGGCAAAGTAGGAGCACAATGACCTGCCAGCCCAGAGGCCCCTGGGCCTGCTTTACGTCAGGAAGATGTAGCTGCTTTTCAGCATCTGGAATTTCACAAAAGCAGCCAGGAGAATCCTGACCATGGGAGAGACTGTTACCTTGTTTGTCATCCTTGTACGTCTGCACTTGCTTCAGGTGCAGCACGGGGTCAACGCACACTGAGCGGATGCGTGTGGGTAGGCGCAGGTTGCGCCCAGGATAGCCCAGGACGGTCACGTGCAGCATGGTGTCGAGGAACGTCACCCAGTTCCCATTCCACAGGAGCTTGCCCCAGCTCCCTAGGAAAGAGAAGCAGCCCTGTCAGTGTGTGCACCCCACAGAGGGAGGGAAGGGAAAAGGCTGGCTCTGCTGCCAGAGGGCTGACAGCACAATTGGCATTGCCCAGGTGCACTCTACCCAATGCCACAACAGGGATCTTCTGCATCCGTCCTGTGCACAGGACCCTGCTGCCAAGCCTCAAGGCAGGTAGGCCTCAGCCATGCAACCTGGGTGGATGCTTCACAGTGGCTATGTGCACCTGACTAGCATATCATGCACAAGTCAGCAGGCATAATGACCAACCCCTTCATCATCTTCAGAAGAGACGCACCTGCACTGCTGCATTCGAGGAGCCCCTGGAACGTTGGCCCATAGTTGTACCCACGTAGATGCAGCTCTGTGTAAATGTCTGTCTTGGAGAGGGGGTGGCTGGAGCTTGCATCTGGCTGGGCATCAGAATCAGCTTGCTCATTATGAAAGTTATTCAGAGCAGTGTCTTCCAAAAGGTAAACTTTCCCTAGCAGGCACAAGAGAGAACATGAGCCATCAGCACGCAGAGGCATGGCATTGGATTCCCAGGAGGCCACGCAGAGTTGTCTACTTACCACTGACACTCAGGTTTCCATTTTCTGACACTTCAAAGCTGTGGGAAGCAGGCATGAGTCTCACCTCCAGCTGCACAGAACCTGCAACACAGGCAGAGATCGCTGCATGGAGGACAGAAGGTGGGGCAGGGTCTTCCTGGGACCAGGGGGCATCCGCTCCCTGTCACTCCAAATTCCCAGCACCTCCCATCTTTCACACCCTCTTCTTCCCACCTGCACACCATAGAACAAAGCAGGACATGTCCCATCCTACTTGTAGATGCATTATGAGACCAGGAGCATGACATCTTCACCCCCTTTCCTGCTGCCTTGCGCTCTCTCCTTCCACCAGTCTTTCCCCAACTTTACTATGTGGACCAAGGCTCATCCCCCTCTCACCTTTCTTGGGTAGGATGGTTGCTTGGTGGATCACAACATCCTCAAACATGACAGGCATTTGTTCCATGACAGCTCCCAGAGACCGTGCCAGGGTTCGCCAGGCTAGCACCAGGTATCCAGTGGCTGGGTAGAGGACTCTGCCATCAACGCAGTGACCAATCAAGTAATGGTCAGGAGACTCTGGGTTCACATCTACCCATTACACAGGAAACAACAAAAAGCTTTTGTAACTTCTTAGCAGAAATGCTCTGGAATAAAGATGTTTCTCCTACCACCACCCTTCCCCCTCCCAAGGCAGGGGTGGGAGACAAAAGAGGAAAAAAAATTCTCAATGCTGCTACCACTTTCTCTTTCATGCAAAGCCTTTTACCCCAGCCCCCAGAGCTGTTCCAACCACATGAAGCTTCAGAACTGCTCCTCAGAACAGGATTTTGGGGTTCTACTTAGACTTTGGGCTCCTGATTTATGAATGAGAGGAAGCAAAGCAGAAGCAGCAGGTACACACCAATATTGTACACCGAAGCAGATGAAGAGCCTGCAGAGCCAGATGGAAATTCTTCGGCTTTTGGGTAGTACCAGGTCTCACTGTGATCCCACAAGATGTGGGGAGAGATGAGTGGGGTTCCTACTGGCACAGGATATTCAACAGGTGGGAACAGCTTATTTGACTGAACATTTATTCTGGAAAAAATAAGAAGTTAGGATAGTTGAGATTTTGGTCTTGATCCTCAGTGCTAAAAGCCACAATAGTCCATGCACTCATGGGTTACTAAGCTGGTCTCCTGTTCCAGGAGTTTGTAACAAACCCGCCTCTCTCCCACCCAAGGGATTCCACTGCTTTGGGTCAGACACAGCCTCCTATCCACGCCAAAATGTGTTGCTGTGCAAAAGAGAAGCCAAGAGGCAGTTCTCAGTCAAGGGCATCACTGGAGATGGATCTCGCCGTTCTCCATACTAACCACCCTCTTTCCTGTCCCCAGACACCATACCCAGTCAAGTGGATCTTTCCAATGTGTGTCAGGAAGAACTCCAAGTTGTTTCTGTGCTCTCTCTTCATCAAAGGCAGGATGGTGCAGGTTGGTTTCAAGCTTCTCTTCAGGATAGCCTAGCCAAGCAAATACAAAAAGGTCATGGGGTCAGAGAAACCCGATTTCTCATTTGAGATTTGGCCTGGTTTTGGGGAAGACAAACTTGTGCTGCCATGATGCTGAGGCTTGTGCCCACAGAGTGTGTGAGCACTGAGGGTGCAAGCAAGGGGGAGGAAGAAGATCATTAAAAAAAATCACAAATGGAGCAAGGAGGGATCCACTTAATAGCTGCAGGGCTCTACCAATCAGGACCCCTTGCTGCTCAGAGGATTAAATGAGATTCAGATTACACTGCAAAAATGGCAAGATCATCCTCTTGAGCCTCCCCCACAGGCGCACACCCGTCGGCCTTTCCCCCAGCAGCACTGACTCCACATCATGAGCATCTGTCAGCCAGAAACATCCCTGAGACCTTTGTGAGCCACAGGTATTAAAACCAAACACCAATACTCAGTGCTAAAAGCCACAATAGTCCATGCACTCGTGGGTTACCAAGCTGGTCTCCTGTTCCAGGAGTTTGTGACAAACCTGCCTCTCCCCCACCCAAGGGATTCCACTGCTTTGGGTCAGACACAGCCTCCTATACATGCCAAAGTGTGTTGCTGTGCAAAAGAGAAGCCAAGAGGCATTTCTCAGTCAAGGGCATCACTGGAGATGGATCTCGCCGTTCTCCACACTAACCACCCTCTTTCCTGTCCCCAGACACCATACCCAGTCAAGTGGATCTTTCCAATGTGCGTCAGGAAGAACGCTAAGTTGTTTTTGTGCTCTCTCTTCATCAAAGGCAGGATGGTGCAGGTTTTAGGGAACTGCCTTCTTTCTACAGTAAA